GAGGAGGAGGAGGAGGAGGAGGAGGAGATTGAATTTATACCCTGCCCTTCACTCGGAGTCTCAGAGTGGCATACAGACTCCTTTCCCGTCCCCTCCCCACGACAGACACCCTGTGAGGTAGGTGGGGCTGAGAGAGCTTTGAGAGAACTGTCCTTGAGGGAGCAGCTCTGACAGAACTACGGCTCGCCCAAGGTCATCCAACAGCTGCGAGTGGAGTGGGGAATCAAACCCGGTTCTCCGAGATTAGAGTCCGCACACTAAACCACGACACCAAACTAGCTCTCAGACAGGATGGGATGGTGTTGTCTATCCTACCCGCATTGCATTAACATGGTCCTAATACCTACATTTGAAGCATCACAAATAAAGGTAAAGGGTTTCATGAAGTCTAGAGCCCTTCGTATTGGCTCTATGGTAAGCACCCATTTTAGTGGGTCAAATGCTTCTTGACACTCAGGGATCCAAATTACCATATCTGGGTACAAAGGAGCTGCAATAGTACTAAACTCTCTTCTTTCCTGTTTAAAAATAAAAAAGAGAGTTTAGAAATAAACAGGGCATGGCTTCCTGTCCTGAAGAACACAAAATGCTCTGCATCTGGGGCCTCCTGAAAACCAAATGCTAGGAGAGCGAACTCAAAGGGTCCCTCCTGAGCCACACATGCTGATTTTGGTTGGTCCTTCGGGTCCATAGCCACTTGCCAGCACCCTTTTGTTAAATCTAGGGTGGAGATGAAGTTTGCAATCCCAATTGTTTCCACCAGCTCATCCACCCTGGGCACTGTATACACATAAGGTAAAGTTACTTTATTCAACCTCCTATGGTCCAAACAGAATCTTAAAATATAGATACTGATTCTTCTGTACTAATTGGGGTTTGGCGTAGGGGTTAAGTGCACAAACTCTAATCTGGGAGAACCGGGTTTGATTCCCCACTCCTCCACTCGCAGCTGCTGGATGGCCTTGGGCAAGCCATAGTTCTGACAAGAGCTGTCCTTGAAAAAGAGCAGTTTCTGTCAGAGCTCTCTCAGCCCCACCTACCTCACAGGGTGCCTGTTGTGGGGAGGGGGAGGGAAAGGAGTTTGTCAGCCACTCTGAGACTTCAAGTGAAGGGCGGGGTATAAATCCAATCTCTTCCTCCTCTTCTTCTTCTTCATCAGCATCATTAATGGAACTTCTTCCCCCATGTCACTCCAGCCCACTATTTCTTCATCATTGACATCTACAATTTCCAGATAATCCCTATTGATATCCTCCCGCACTTTCCAGATCTGTAGTACTCTAGCCGACCTGTCTGTCTGTGTTTCTACCACTGGGGCAGCCTAGACCAATGACTTCTCTGGATACCCTTACAGCTTTTTCTGTTGTTCCTTTTAAAAAAAAATATTAAATGTGGGGGGAATGCATGTTTAAGAAGAAGAGAAGAGATTGGATTTATACCCTGCCCTTCACTACCCAAAGGAGTCTCAGAGCGTCTTACAAATTCCTTTCCCCACAACAGGCATCCTGTGAGGTAGGTGGGACTGAGAGAGCTCCGACAGAAACGGCTCTTTTTCAAGAACAGCTCTGAGAGAACTTATGACTGATCCAGGGTCACACCGGCAGCTGCATGTGAAGGAGGGGGGAATGAAACCTGGTTCTCCCAGATTAGAGTTCATGCACTTAATCACTACAACAAACTTAAGTGCATGGCACACCAATTTTTGGCGTCAGCTGATGCGCTATGAAGTAATTGAGCAATGGTGGTCGCCCTCGATATGCAATGAAACGTTTTTTCCCTTCCCTCGTGAACTTTTATCAAGACTTTATTAAGTTGCTGATCTCAAAGGAGCCATTGTGTCTATGCCGTGGGGCTGGTGCATATGAACCTCTTGGGGTTTTTGTCTTCCAGATCAACAGAATCAATCACACTTTTTCAGTTCCTCAGACGGGGCGTCGTGATCTCCGTCGGCGCCATCCTCAACCGCGCCACCTTCGACGTCCTGTGACTGTTTCTCTGGAAACCCGTTGATGTCTTTCCACATGGAATACTTGGCATCCCAAAGAGCTTCGATCATGTCCCACATCCCTGCCTTTTCTTCTTGGAGGTCTTGGTCATTGTCTCTCAAAGCAATGTACTCCTCCCAGAGGGCCATCTTGTCTCTGGAGATGGCCATGTCTTCTTCCCAAAAGACTTTGTCCTTCTTCCAGAAGGCCTTGCATTCCTTCCAGTAGCTCATGTTCTTCTCCTCGAGGGATTGCATCTTCTCCTGCAGGGATTTGTTCTTCTCCCGCATGGCCTTGTTGGTTTCCTGGAACTCCTTGTTCTTGACCTGGAAGGCCTTCACCAGAGTTCGGAAAGATTCGTTCCTCTCCTCAAAGGAAGCAATCTCTTCCTCTGTGCCCTTGATCTTCTCTTGGAAGGCCTCGATCTTCTCCTGAACGGCGCTCACCTTCTCCTGGAAGTCCAGGTTCTTCATCCGGAAGCTGTTGATCTCCACCATGAAAAGTCTGCTCTCCTCCAAGAAGTTCTTGATCTCCTCCAAGAATCCCTTGTTCCTCTGTCTGAAGTTGCGGATCTCCTCCCATAACGCCTTGGTTTTGTTATCTTCCTGGAAAGCTTTGATTTCCAGCCGGAGGGCCCTGCTTTTTTCCCAGAAGAGCTTGATTTCTTCTTGCAAGGCCCGTTTCTCCTCCTTGAGATTCTTCTGTAAGAGCTGCTTGTGCAGGGACGGGGGCAAACGGGTCATGTGATGCCAGCTCTCTCGCTTGACAGGAAGGGGAGGAATCTCACTGCTTTTCTTAACCTTGGGGTTGGCATTATCAGGGGCTTCTACCAGCGTTTTCTTCCTGTTCTCCATTTGGTCACAGCTGTGGAGAGAGAGAGATAGGGAGGGAGATGGGCAAAGAATAGCACAGAAAGAGACGATGTTGTCTACCGGGTGGTTTGAGCATTAAGAACATAAGAGAGAGTCCTGAGGGTAGAGTTACCAGCTCCCAGTTGGGAAATAGCTGAAGATTTAGAGGGAGGGGTTGGGGGGGGACTTCAGTGGGGTATATTGCCATTTGGGCTCATTTCCTGCAGGAGCACACAGGAGCGGAGCTCTGGCAGTAAAGAGCCCAGGGGGCGTGCACATGCAACAAACCCCACCCCCTGCTCCCAGCAGCCCTCAGTCAGAGCAAAAAGCAGCCAGGTAAGCTGCAGAGCCCCCCCCCCCGGGGCCCCGATCCAAAACAGTCCAGTGGCACCTTTAAGGCCAAGTTTAATTCAGGTGCAAGCTCTCCCTCCTCTGCGAGGACAGATCTGCACGTTCCCCCCACCCCATAGCTTTTTCTACAAAAAAAAAGCCCCGATGAGAATGATAAAAGGGTTGGAACACTTTCCCTATGAAGAAAGGTTAAAGCGCTTGGGGCTCTTTGGCTTGGAGAAACGATGGCTGAGGAGAAACGGTGACATGATCGAGGTTTACAAGATGATGCATGGGATAGAGCAGGCAGAGAAAGAAGTCCTTTTCTCCCTTTCTCACAATACAAGAACTCCTTGTGGGCACTCAATGAAATTGCTTAGCGGTCGGGTTAGAACGGATAAGAGAAGGAAGTCCTTCTTCACCCAAAGAGTGATTAAGACATGGGATTCACTGTTACAGGAGGTGGTGGCGGCTACAAGCATGGACGGCTTCAAGAGGGAATTGGATAAACATACGGAGCAGAGGTCCATCAGTGGCTATTAGCCACAAGGTACAGATAGGATCTCTCAGTCTGGGGCAAGGGATGCTCCCTATTCTTGGTGCTTGGGGGGGGACAACAGTGGGAGGGCTTCTGGAGTTCTGGCCCCACTGCTGGACCTCCTGATGGCACCTGGTGTGTTTGGCCACTGTGTGACACAGAGTGTTGGATTGGATGGGTCACTGGCCTGATCCAACACTGGCTTCTCTGATGTCCTTAATATGGAGCAGAGGTCCATCAGTGGCTATTAGCCACAAGGTGTGACACAGAGGGTTGGACTGGATGGGCCATCGGCCTGATCCACCATTGGCTTCTCTTATGTTCTTATGATGAACAGAGGATGTTGGCGATTGCCTGCCTCTGCGTAGTGACCCTGGACTTCCCTGGTGGTCTCCCATCCAAATACTAACCAGGGCCAACCCTGCTTAGCTTCCAAGACATGACAAGATCAGGCCAGCCTGGGCCATCCAGGCCAGGGCAGTGATCAATGAGTGACCAATCAATGAGTCACCCAGTGAGTTCCAGGCCAGCCCATTCCTAAGCCTCACCTCCGTGATCCTCACCTGCAAACCCATGAAGCTCTTACTCAGTTGGGTTCTTCTAACTGAGCAATGTCCTCTCTGTCTCCCAGGGCACCCCACAATTCTCCACTGCAGAAAGGCCTTTGTTAACTCCCGCCAACGGAGGTCCTTTCAATGGTAAGTGGTGTTTCCAGCTCCAAGTGGAGACATTTCTGGAGATTTGAGGGTGGAGCCTGGGGAGGGCAGGTGCTGGGGGGAGGAGAGACCCCTGTGCTGTAGAATGCCACAGACCCCACCCTCTAAAGCAGCCATTTTCTCTCCGGGGAAGTTGACCTCTCAGCTCTGGAGATCAGCTGTAATTCTTGGGGGTCTCCAGGCCCCACCTGGAGGTTGGCAGCCATGTGGATAGTGTTGTCATCTCCAGGTTGGCATCTTCCTGGAGCTTTTAGGGTGGATTCTGAGGAGGGTGAGGTTTAGGGAGGGGAAAAACTCCACTGGTCGGCTAGCCCACCCTCCAAAAGCATCCATCTTATCCAGGGGAACTGATCTCCTTGGTTGAGATCAGTTGAAAGTCCAGGAGATCTTGGAAGTTGGGAACTCTATTTCATTGGGCATTGTAAAGAATGGCTCTGGGGCCTTCTGAGGAAAAGCAGGTGCTGTATCATCAAGGCCAGGCCCTTCCTTGGAAACCAGAACTTTGGACTCCTAATGTGAAGTCTCTGCCCCCTTTGGCTTGGAGCTCACTGGTCCCAGGGCTGAATCCTGCCCAGAACAGTCCACTTCCCCAGGGCCCCGATCCTGCAACAAAACAAATCCGGGGCGCTCACTGACCTGCAACTCCTCCTCGGCTAGGATGGTGGCTCCCTTGAACTCTGTTACCGGGGCAGCCGGTGACCATGAACAGGAGAGATTTAGAACCTTCTGGAGGTCTCCAGGTTCCATCCTTGGAAGGCAGAGGGGGCAACCCCTGCAGTTCAGGATTCCGAAGCAGGAGGGCACGGAGCGTGGTGAGTACGTCAGGCTGGGCATCGCGTCAGGGCAGGGGGGCAGCACAGGGATAATGAAACACGGGCAACTTCAACTACAGTTACCAGCCTCCAGGTGGGGCATGGAGACTGACCCCCCCCCCCTAAAAATTATAACAGATTTCCAGACTACAGAGATCAGTGGGAGAAAATGGCTGGTTTGGAGAGTGAAGAAGAAGAAGAAGAGAAGAGATTGGATTTATACCCCACCCTTCACTACCCAAAGGTGTCTCAGAGCGGCTTACAAACTCCTTTCCCTTCCCCTCCCCACAACAGACACCCTGTGAGGTAGGTGGGCTGAGAGAACTCTTGACAGAAACTGCTCTTTTTCAAGAACAGCTGTGCCAGAGTTATGGCTTGCCCAAGGTCATCCAGCCAGGTGCAAGTGGAGGAGTGGGGAATCAAACCCGGTTCTCCCAGATTAGAGTCCTGCGGTGGCTCAAGTGGTTAAGACGCTGAACTGCAGGCTGTGGAAGGTCAGTAGTTCAGCAGTTCGAGACCCGGGTGCTGCATGATGGAGTGAGCTCCCATCTCTAGTTCCAGCTCCTGCCAGCCTAGCAGTTCGAAAGCAAGAAATTGCAAGTAGATAAATAGGTACCGCTTTGGTGGGAAGGTAACAGCGTTCCGTGCGCCTTGGGGTTTAGTCATGCCGGCCACATGACCACGGAAACGTCTTCGGACAGCGCTGGCTCTTCGGCTTTGAGATGGAGATGAGCACCGCAACCCTAGAATCGGATTCGACTGGCTTTCGAGCAAGGGAACCATTACGTTACCTTACTTAACCACTACACCAAAGTGGAGTGTTCCAGTAAAGTCCCTCACTCCCCCAAGCCCTCACCTCCCCAGGATCAGCCCCCAAATTTAGAGGAATCTCCAAACCCAGAATCAGCAACAGCCCTAACTGGCTGCCAGTTTCTTTCTGGGCCGAGTTCAAAATGCTGGTTTTTAATTTTAAAGTCCAAAACAGTTTAAGCTACCTGTGGGCCTGGTGGCTCAGAGGAAGAGCCTCTGCTTGGCATGTGGGAGGTCCCAGGTTCAATCCACGACATCTCCGATGAAAAAGAACCAAGCTGTAGATGATGGGAAAGACCTCCACCTGAAACCCTGGAGAGCAGGTTCCAGTCTGGGTAGACAAGACTGACCTTGATGGAGCAAAGATTCAGTTGAAGACAGCTTCATATGTATTCAATAGTAACCTGGTGGATTAATATCTGGTGTTGTTGTTTTCAGATGCCTTGGAAGGCAAGGCGTAATATGGCCTGCAGGTAGGGTTCATTTCCTGCAGGAGCGCACAGGAGCGGAGCTCCGGCAGTAAAGAGCCCAGGGGGTGGGCACATGCAACAAGCCCCACCCCCTGCTCCCAGCAGCCCTCAATCAGAGCAAGAAGCAGCCAGGTAAGTTGCAGAGCCCACAACCCCGCTCCCCCGGTCCAAAACAGTCCGGTGGCACCTTTAAGACCAAGTTTTATTCAGTTTCAAGCTCTCCCTCCTCTGCGAGGACAGATCTGTCAGGTGATGTCGGGGGTGTGGCATATGCAAATAATTTATGCTAATGAGTTATGCTAGTGAGCTCCTGCACCTCTTTTTCTACGAAATGACCCCTGCCTGCAGGCCAGAGGAGGCGCGTTCTGCCACATACGAAACAGCCTCTTTCAAGTGGAAAGGAACATTTGTAGAGTCGGGTCTGTTGAAAAGGGCCATTTTAAAAGGCATTGGGTGGACAGAACTAAGGTTCAGTTTTTGGTGAGTGACTGTTTTAGTGGGGGTCACTTAACTTGCAGGGCTCTTTTTGTAGAAAAAGCCCAGCAGGAACTCATTAGCATAATAGGCCACACTCAACAGCAGAAACTCATTAGCATATTAGGCCACACCCCTGACAGCACAGCTCATTAGCCCATTAGGCAGCACCCCCATGTTGCCAGAAGTGTGGTCATCCAGCCACACCCACCTTTTGCTTGTTATTCTGTTTACCTTGTTTGTTGTCAAAACCCAGGGCCTTTTTTTGTAGCAGGGACTCCTTTGCATGTTAGGCCACACACCC